CTTGTCGGAAAGGTTTAGATATCCGTTCATTCATTTATTAATTAATTAATTCATTTATTTTTTTTGTTCATTTGTTCGTTCGTTCGTTCGTTCATTCATAAATTCGTTCTTTCCTTCGGTCAAAAATTAGTTCGTTCAAAAATCAATCACTCGTTCCCTTCGTAATACATTCATTTGCTTGTTCGTTCATCCTTTTGTTCATTCACTCAATTCACTTGTTTATTTTTTTATTTGTTCATTCGTCCACACATTTGCTCATCCATCATTAACATATTTGAATATATTATGTTAATGAACGTAGCCCTTGGAGTTCGTCATAAACGAACTGGACGAAGATGACGAAATTATGGCCGACGTTAGTCCATTCGGAATAATAATAATAATAATAACAATAATAATAATTATAATAATAATAAAAATAGTAATAATAATAACAATAATAATAATAATAACAACAACAATAATAAAAATAATTTAGTTGGAGATTTCGAAATGGAAAATAAATGAAGCAAAGTCTAATGAGAGGAGGATAAGAATCATTATCGACGATAAGAACATCACCATTTCAGAACCATACTACGACTATCAATGTTATTATTATCATTATTACCTATTATTATTATTATTCGTTATCATTATTATTATTATTTTGTTATTATTATTATTAATATTATTATTACATATATTTTTTTCTAATATTTTTTCCTATTCAGTTATCGATGAAGCTATCAAGAATAGACTAAAAGGAGAAGTGAGAACTAATATTATTATTATTGTTGTTATTATTATTATTATTATTATTATTATTATTAGTAGTAGTAATAGTAGTAGTAGAAGTAGTAGATTTAGTAGATTTATAAAGCCGACACTTGAAAAGCTATCGACCGTCCAACAAGAATCCAATATCGCACATCAGCCCTCACTATAATGCCAGGGAACAATTTTTAAATCGACCCCTTTGTTGAAATTTGTCAGGAAGGCCTTAATTCAACAACTTCCAACGAGTTCCAATCTCTCCAGGTGGGGTGAGCCCTCCAACGCATTGTGTCCTCTCTGTAATAACGCATGGCAGAACTACAAATACGTCCTGTCATGTTGTGGTTCCGTTGCGGGCTTTAAGAAGATGTAAAACACGTCATGATAAAATATTGCCTTTGATCCTGCAGAAAATTGGACCGGTTGCTAGATCAGATGTTACAATTTTGCCACAGTACTATCTCTCTTCAAATCACTTTGGCCGGCCCGATATAGCACTCATACGAGTATTAGACATGTTAGAACTGATAGCCTGTCACGAATCCAACTTCACCACCACAAGGAACTATAAAAGATCTAAATACCAGAACATTCATAACAATTTTGTCGACGAGAAGAAAAGCCTCAAAATTATTACAAACACATTTTAAATCTCCCCACTAGGCTTTTTCAAACATTTTAACTTATCGCTGGTGAATTTTATTTGGTCAGACCAATTTTACAATGATTTGACTAACTCGGCAATATCAGCATCGTAATTATTGATTTATTATTTATTTATTATTTATTTATTGATTTATTTACTTATTTATTGCGACAGAAACTCGAATGTATCATAACTCTTTTTAGACTGATCTTCCATTTCGACACAATGGCCAGCATCGTAGACTACTTAGCCGATTTTTATTTTTTTTTTATTTTACTCAATTTTACCTTACTTTCATTTCATTTCATTGTGTGTTTATTTTACTTGTGGCAAAATAAAAGAGTTCCCACTATTACTGGAAGAATGAATGAGTGAATGAATGAATGAATGGATGGATGGATGAATGAATGAATTATTACTAATATTACCAGGATATTTGGAGCGCTGTGTCATTCACAGAAGAAGCCATTAAACCAACGCCGGTTAAGTTAATAATAATAATAATAATCTATTCATTTTCAATCGCTCTAACTATTGATTCATTCATTCAATCATTCATTTATTTATTTGTTCATTCAATCATTAAATCATTCATTCATTCATTCATTTATTCATTCATTCATTCATTCATTCATTCATTCATTCATTCATTCATTCATTCATTCATTCATTCATTCATTCATTCATTCATTCATTCATTCATTCATTCATTCATTCATTCATTCATTCATTCATTCATTCATTCATTCATTCATTCATTCATTCATTCATTCATTCATTCATTCATTCATTCATTCATTCATTCATTCATTCATTCATTCATTCATTCATTCATTCATTCATTCATTCATTCATTCATTCGTTCATTCGTTCATTCATTCATTCAATCATTCATTCGTGCGTTTGTTCATTCAATCATTCATTCGTGCGTTCGTTCATTCAATCAATCAATTATTCGTTCGTTCGTTAATTCATCCATCCATTCCATTTATTATTATTCATTCATTCATCCATTAATTCACTCATTCACTCGTCCATTCATTCATTCAGGCCCTGTACATCCGCAAATATGACGAGGTTTTTGCCTCGATGGATTATTACGAAGATAAGAACGATTACATAATATTTGACGTCGACTACAGAGACATAGTGGGCTTTTTATAATTTTAATTATTCATTATTATTTTAATTACTCATTATTATTATTAATTATAATTAATAACTGTATAGTTAGTTGTAGTAGTAAAAGTAATAGTAGTAGTAGTTGAAGTTGTTGTAGTAGTAGTATTAGAAGCAGCAGTAGTAGTAGTAGAAGAAGAAGTAGTATTAATATATTACGTAAAATTACTGACCCTAAAATATTATTATTTCAGGTTTATACGTCACCGAAGTATTACCTTTGCCCATATAGAACCTCTCTAAATTGTGACATCATATGGTTGATTGATTGATTGATGGATTGATTGATGGATTGATTGATTGATTGATTGATTGACGGATTGATTGATTGATTAATTAATTGATTAATTGATTAATTGATTAATTGATTAATTGATTAATTGATTAATTGATTGATTGATTGATTAATTGATTGATTGATTGATTGATTGATTGATTGATTGATTGATTGATTGATTGATTGATTGATTGATTGATTGATTGATTGATTGATTGATTGATTGATTGATTGATTGATTGATTGATTGATTGATTGATTGATTGATTGATTGATTGATTGATTGATTGATTGATTGATTGATTGATTGATTGATTGATTGATTGATTGATTGATTGATTGATTGATTGATTGATTGATTGATTGATTGATTGATTGATTGATTGATTGATTGATTGATTGATTGATTGATTGATTGATTGATTGATTGATTGATTGATTGATTGATTGATTGATTGATTGATTGATTGATTGATTGATTGATTGATTGATTATATTTTCAAGTATTTTGTTGATTTAAAAGAAAAAAATTGATCCCAGCGTTCAACTGATTA